ATCAAAGGCTTTGTTCTAGGAAATAAATGTATTTTAACTGTATACTTCTTAAAACATAATAACTACACCGGGAGCAATACAACCTGGACTAATAATTCCCCTTTTTTAATAACCCCCAAAAAGGCTATTTATTCACAGTATCATATCTTTTGTATTTGAGATGGAATACACATAATGTCAAAAACAAACCAGCAAAAAATGCCTGCATTAGTTTACAACACAGCATTAAAATCCAAGCTTTTCAACCAAATGTACAAAAGCATAAAATCAGAGAGATGAATGTGGAAGAACACCATGACACTGCAAATGCTATAACTAAGCAGCACAGAGAAAACGTTGTAAAGTTTTGGTACAGATACCCAAGCAGATAGATGATCATTGAAATAGCTGGAGACATAAATGTTAGATTGTGAGTTAGATTGGCAGTTTCATCACAATTGCTCTGTATACTCTAATGACACCTAGTCTGTGTAATCCACTTAAATGATCAATTCTTTACAAAACCTTGCCTGAAAACGTCAAGTTTTTTTTGCTTTTTTTTATTGACATTTTGATTGAGAATTGATTTTAGAGCGTAAAAATCTGCTATCAAAGGTATCAATACTTTAGTATCGATCCGCTCATTACTTGGTACAGCAGATCTTCATGTTTCATGTACACTTCCATGTTTGAGGCTGACGGCAACCAGATCCTTGAGCACACACAATGTTCTATAAAGTTTAAAAAAAAACAAACAAAAAAAAAAAGGCAATGATGTAACGGAGGCCCTGATGACATCACAAAGGCTTTGGTGATGATGTCATCAACTTTCATGTTTTCTTTGTAGTTGAAAATTAGTAAGTGGTGTACTGTTTCTGAACTATTGGTTCACTTGCAGGTGAAAACAAATTCTAGGCACTCATTCTGTTATTTCAACACAAACACAGTGTCAATACCAGAGATGGAACAAGAAATGGAAAGACGTCAATTCAAATTGGCCCAAGTACAGGCCTGTCAGCCAGAAGATAGCAGGCCCACCAGGAAATGGACAGGTCATGACCGTGAATGGTGGTTGGAGGGTTGGCCAAAGAGCTGGTTAGAACCTGAACAAAGTTCTAACCAGATATTTGAGGATTGTCAGCCAGAAGATAGCAGGCCCACAGAGAAATGGTCAGGGCATGACCGTGAATGGTGGTTCGAGGGTTGGCCAAAGAGCTGGTTAGAACCTGAACAAAGTTCTAACCAGATATTTGAGGATTGTCAGCCAGAAGATAGCAGGCCCACCAGGAAATGGACAGGACACAACCGTGAATGGTGGTTCGCGGGTTGGCCAAAGAGCTGGTTAGAACCTGAACAAAGTTCTAACCAGATATTTGAGGATTGTCAGCCAGAAGATAGCAGGCCCACCAGGAAATGGACAGGACATGACCGTGAATGGTGGTTCGAGGGTTGGCCAAAGAGCTGGTTAGAACCTGAACAGAGTTCTAACCAGATATTTGAGGATTGTCAGCCAGAAGATAGCAGGCCCACAGAGAAATGGTCAGGACATGACCGTGAATGGTGGTTCGAGGGTTGGCCAAAGAGCTGGTTAGAACCTGAACAGAGTTCTAACCAGATATTTGAGGATTGTCAGCCAGAAGATAGCAGGCCCACAGAGAAATGGTCAGGACATGACCGTGAATGGTGGTTCGAGGGTTGGCCAAAGAGCTGGTTAGAACCTGCACAAAGTTCTAACCAGATATTTGAGGATTGTCAGCCAGAAGATAGCAGGCCCACAGAAGAATGGACAGGACATGACCGTGAATGGTGGTTCGAGGGTTGGCCAAAGAGCTGGTTAGAACCTGAACAAAGTTCTAACCAGATATTTGAGGATTGTAAGCCAGAAGATAGCAGGCCCACAGAGAAATGGTCAGGACATGACCGTGAATGGTGGTTCGAGGGTTGGCCAAAGAGCTGGTTAGAACCTGAACAAAGTTCTAACCAGCTATTTGAGGATTGTCAGCCAGAAGATAGCAGGCCCACCAGGAAATGGACAGGACATGACCGTGAATGGTGGTTCGAGGGTTGGCCAAAGAGCTGGTTAGAACCTGAACAGAGTTCTAACCAGATATTTGAGGATTGTCAGCCAGAAGATAGCAGGCCCACAGAGAAATGGTCAGGACATGACCGTGAATGGTGGTTCGAGGGTTGGCCAAAGAGCTGGTTAGAACCTGAACAAAGTTCTAACCAGATATTTGAGGATTGTCAGCCAGAAGATAGCAGGCCCACCAGGAAATGGACAGGACACGACCGTGAATGGTGGTTCGCGGGTTGGCCAAAGAGCTGGTTAGAACCTGAACAAAGTTCTAACCAGATATTTGAGGATTGTCAGCCAGAAGATAGCAGGCCCACCAGGAAATGGACAGGACATGACCGTGAATGGTGGTTCGAGGGTTGGCCAAAGAGCTGGTTAGAACCTGAACAGAGTTCTAACCAGATATTTGAGGATTGTCAGCCAGAAGATAGCAGGCCCACAGAGAAATGGTCAGGACATGACCGTGAATGGTGGTTCGAGGGTTGGCCAAAGAGCTGGTTAGAACCTGAACAGAGTTCTAACCAGATATTTGAGGATTGTCAGCCAGAAGATAGCAGGCCCACAGAGAAATGGTCAGGACATGACCGTGAATGGTGGTTCGAGGGTTGGCCAAAGAGCTGGTTAGAACCTGCACAAAGTTCTAACCAGATATTTGAGGATTGTCAGCCAGAAGATAGCAGGCCCACAGAAGAATGGACAGGACATGACCGTGAATGGTGGTTCGAGGGTTGGCCAAAGAGCTGGTTAGAACCTGAACAAAGTTCTAACCAGATATTTGAGGATTGTAAGCCAGAAGATAGCAGGCCCACAGAGAAATGGTCAGGACATGACCGTGAATGGTGGTTCGAGGGTTGGCCAAAGAGCTGGTTAGAACCTGAACAAAGTTCTAACCAGCTATTTGAGGATTGTCAGCCAGAAGATAGCAGGCCCACCAGGAAATGGACAGGACATGACCGTGAATGGTGGTTCGAGGGTTGGCCAAAGAGCTGGTTAGAACCTGAACAGAGTTCTAACCAGATATTTGAGGATTGTCAGCAAGAAGATAGCAGGCCCACAGAAGAATGGACAGGAAATGACCGTGAATGGTGGTTCGAGGGTTGGCCAAAGAGCTGGTTAGAACCTGAACAAAGTTCTAACCAGATATTTGAGGATTGTCAGCCAGAAGATAGCAGGCCCACCAGGAAATGGACAGGACATGACCGTGATTAATTAAACCCACATCCCCCACCCACACCCACAGACACCCACCCACACACGCCAATGCACCCGCAAATACACACACTAAGAGAATAGACATAAGGCTGAGTCGTCCCAAACAACCAACATAGGGTGATTGCTTAAAACCAAACACCCCACCCACGCACACACACACACACACCCACATACACCCACTCACACACGCCAATGCACCCGCAAATACACACACACTAAAAGAATGGACATAAGGCTGAATCGTCCCATACAACCAGCATAGGGTGATTGCTTAAAACCAAACACCCCATCCACGCACACACACACACACACACACACACACACACACACACGCACACACACACGCCAGTCTTCAGGACCATGTTTTGTTTTCCCCCCGCTAAGGAATGGCCGCAACCCAGCATAATTAGGACCCATGTCCGCCTAAGTCCCAAACAACAATGACAACGACAAAAAATTTACAATGAAATTAAAGAAATAAAAACAAATAAAATTACAAAAAATTAACGGCAATTAAAAAAAAATAAATAAATAAATTTGGCACTGTGGCTTAGTTGGTCAAAGCGCCTGTCTAGTACACAGGAAATCCTGGGTTCGAATCCCAGCGGTGCCTTTTCAACACATGACATGTGCCATATCTTCACATTCTCCACACAGTGACATGGGGAATGTCATCCATTCATTCAGAAGGGGATTACGAATTGCAGTATAATCATTGCCTTTTCACTAATTCATTTCTTTCCTGGTTGAAAATCGTAAAATCGGGTCATTCTTTGACTTCCGATGACAAGCTTTCATGAATCAAAGGCTTTGTTCTAGAAATAAATGTATTTTAACTGTATACTTCTTAAAACATAATAACTACACCGGGAGCAATACAACCTGGACTAATAATTCCCCTTTTTTAATAACCCCCAAAAAGGCTATTTATTCACAGTATCATATCTTTTGTATTTGAGATGGAATACACATAATGTCAAAAACAAACCAGCAAAAAATGCCTGCATTAGTTTACAACACAGCATTAAAATCCAAGCTTTTCAACCAAATGTACAAAAGCATAAAATCAGAGAGATGAATGTGGAAGAACACCATGACACTGCAAATGCTATAACTAAGCAGCACAGAGAAAACGTTGTAAAGTTTTGGTACAGATACCCAAGCAGATAGATGATCATTGAAATAGCTGGAGACATAAATGTTAGATTCTGAGTTAGATTGGCAGTTTCATCACAATTGCTCTGTATACTCTAATGACACCTAGTCTGTGTAATCCACTTAAATGATCAATTCTTTACAAAACCTTGCCTGAAAACGTCAAGTTTTTTGCTTTTTTTTATTGACATTTTGATTGAGAATTGATTTTAGAGCGTAAAAATCTGCTATCAAAGGTATCAATACTTTAGTATCGATCCGCTCATTACTTGGTACAGCAGATCTTCATGTTTCATGTACACTTCCATGTTTGAGGCTGACGGCAACCAGATCCTTGAGCACACACAATGTTCTATAAAGTTTAAAAAAAAAAAAAAAAAAAAAAAGGCAATGATGTAACGGAGGCCCTGATGACATCACAAAGGCTTTGGTGATGATGTCATCAACTTTCATGTTTTCTTTGTAGTTGAAAATTAGTAAGTGGTGTACTGTTTCTGAACTATTGGTTCACTTGCAGGTGAAAACAAATTCTAGGCACTCATTCTGTTATTTCAACACAAACACAGTGTCAATACCAGAGATGGAACAAGAAATGGAAAGACGTCAATTCAAATTGGCCCAAGTACAGGCCTGTCAGCCAGAAGATAGCAGGCCCACCAGGAAATGGACAGGACATGACCGTGAATGGTGGTTCGAGGGTTGGCCAAAGAGCTGGTTAGAACCTGAACAAAGTTCTAACCAGCTATTTGAGGATTGTCAGCCAGAAGATAGCAGGCCCACCAGGAAATGGAAAGGACATGACCGTGAATGGTGGTTCGAGGGTTGGCCAAAGAGCTGGTTAGAACCTGAACAAAGTTCTAACCAGATATTTGAGGATTGTCAGCCAGAAGATAGCAGGCCCACCAGGAAATGGACAGGTCATGACCGTGAATGGTGGTTCGAGGGTTGGCCAAAGAGCTGGTTAGAACCTGCACAAAGTTCTAACCAGATATTTGAGGATTGTCAGCCAGAAGATAGCAGGCCCACAGAGAAATGGTCAGGACACGACCGTGAATGGTGGTTCGAGGGTTGGCCAAAGAGCTGGTTAGAACCTGAACAAAATTCTAACCAGATATTTGAGGATTGTCAGCCAGAAGATAGCAGGCCCACAGAAGAATGGACAGGACATGACCGTGAATGGTGGTTCGAGGGTTGGCCAAAGAGCTGGTTAGAACCTGAACAAAGTTCTAACCAGATATTTGAGGATTGTCAGCCAGAAGATAGCAGGCCCACCAGGAAATGGACAGGACATGACCGTGAATGGTGGTTCGAGGGTTGGCCAAAGAGCTGGTTAGAACCTGAACAGAGTTCTAACCAGATATTTGAGGATTGTCAGCCAGAAGATAGCAGGCCCACAGAGAAATGGTCAGGACATGACCGTGAATGGTGGTTCGAGGGTTGGCCAAAGAGCTGGTTAGAACCTGAACAGAGTTCTAACCAGATATTTGAGGATTGTCAGCCAGAAGATAGCAGGCCCACAGAGAAATGGTCAGGACATGACCGTGAATGGTGGTTCGAGGGTTGGCCAAAGAGCTGGTTAGAACCTGCACAAAGTTCTAACCAGATATTTGAGGATTGTCAGCCAGAAGATAGCAGGCCCACAGAAGAATGGACAGGACACGACCGTGAATGGTGGTTCGAGGGTTGGCCAAAGAGCTGGTTAGAACCTGAACAAAGTTCTAACCAGATATTTGAGGATTGTCAGCCAGAAGATAGCAGGCCCACAGAGAAATGGTCAGGACATGACCGTGAATGGTGGTTCGAGGGTTGGCCAAAGAGCTGGTTAGAACCTGAACAAAGTTCTAACCAGATATTTGAGGATTGTCAGCCAGAAGATAGCAGGCCCACAGAGAAATGGTCAGGACATGACCGTGAATGGTGGTTCGAGGGTTGGCCAAAGAGCTGGTTAGAACCTGCACAAAGTTCTAACCAGATATTTGAGGATTGTCAGCAAGAAGATAGCAGGCTCACAGAAGAATGGACAGGACATGACCGTGAATGGTGGTTCGAGGGTTGGCCAAAGAGCTGGTTAGAACCTGAACAAAGTTCTAACCAGATATTTGAGGATTGTCAGCCAGAAGATAGCAGGCCCACCAGGAAATGGACAGGACATGACCGTGAATGGTGGTTCGAGGGTTGGCCAAAGAGCTGGTTAGAACCTGCACAAAGTTCTAACCAGATATTTGAGGATTGTCAGCCAGAAGATAGCAGGCCCACAGAGAAATGGTCAGGACATGACCGTGAATGGTGGTTCGAGGGTTGGCCAAAGAGCTGGTTAGAACCTGCACAAAGTTCTAACCAGATATTTGAGGATTGTCAGCAAGAAGATAGCAGGCCCACAGAAGAATGGACAGGAAATGACCGTGAATGGTGGTTCGAGGGTTGGCCAAAGAGCTGGTTAGAACCTGAACAAAGTTCTAACCAGATATTTGAGGATTGTCAGCCAGAAGATAGCAGGCCCACCAGGAAATGGACAGGACATGACCGTGAATGGTGGTTCGAGGGTTGGCCAAAGAGCTGGTTAGAACCTGAACAGAGTTCTAACCAGATATTTGAGGATTGTCAGCCAGAAGATAGCAGGCCCACAGAGAAATGGTCAGGACATGACCGTGAATGGTGGTTCGAGGGTTGGCCAAAGAGCTGGTTAGAACCTGCACAAAGTTCTAACCAGATATTTGAGGATTGTCAGCAAGAAGATAGCAGGCCCACAGAAGAATGGACAGGACATGACCGTGAATGGTGGTTCGAGGGTTGGCCAAAGAGCTGGTTAGAACCTGAACAAAGTTCTAACCAGCTATTTGAGGATTGTCAGCCAGAAGATAGCAGGCCCACCAGGAAATGGACAGGACATGACCGTGAATGGTGGTTCGAGGGTTGGCCAAAGAGCTGGTTAGAACCTGAACAAAGTTCTAACCAGCTATTTGAGGATTGTCAGCCAGAAGATAGCAGGCCCACCAGGAAATGGACAGGACATGACCGTGAATGGTGGTTCGAGGGTTGGCCAAAGAGCTGGTTAGAACCTGAACAAAGTTCGAACCAGCTATTTGAGGATTAGCCAAAGAGCTGGTTAGAATCTGAATAAAGTTCTAACCAGCTCGAGGGAAGGGAAGAAATGGAGATGGCCAGATGGAGGTGATTGAATCAGACCCTGAGCCTCTGGTAAAAAAGGTGGTGGTTCATCGAGCTACCCAGACCTTAGTAATGGAGGATAAGGTGATTAATTAAACCCACATCCCCCACCCACACCCACAGACACCCACCCACACACGCCAATGCACCCGCAAATACACACACTAAGAGAATAGACATAAGGCTGAGTCGTCCCAAACAACCAGCATAGGGTGATTGCTTAAACCCAAACACCCCACCCACTCACACACACACACACACACACCCACATACACCCACTCACACACGCCAATGCACCCGCAAATACACACACACTAAGAGAATGGACATAAGGCTGAATCGTCCCAAACAACCAGCATAGGGTGTTTGCTTAAAACCAAACACCCCATCCACGCACACACACACACACACACACACACACACACACACACACACACACACACACACACACGCACACACACACGCCAGTCTTCAGGACCATGTTTTGTTTTCCCCCCGCTAAGGAATGGCCGCAACCCAGCATAATTACGACCCATGTCCGCTTTAGTCCCAAACAACAATGACAACGACAAAAAATTTACAATGAAATTAAAGAAATAAAAACAAATAAAATTACAAAAAATTAACGGCAATTTAAAAAAAAAAAAAAAAAAATCTTTGGCACTGTGGCTTAGTTGGTCAAAGCGCCTGTCTAGTACACAGGAAATCCTGGGTTCGAATCCCAGCGGTGCCTTTTCAACACATGGCATGTGCCATATCTTCACATTCTCCACACAGTGACATGGGGAATGTCATCCATTCATTCAGAAGGGGATTACGAATTGCAGTATAATCATTGCCTTTTCACTAATTCATTTCTGTCCTGGTTGAAAATCGTAAAATCGGGTCATTCTTTGACTTCCGATGACAAGCTTTCATGAATCAAAGGCTTTGTTCTAGGAATAAATGTATTTTAACTGTATACTTCTTAAAACATAATAACTACACCAGGAGCAATACAACCTGGACTAATAATTCCCCTTTTTTAATAACCCCCAAAAAGGCTATTTATTCACAGTATCATATCTTTTGTATTTGAGATGGAATACACATAATGTCAAAAACAAACCAACAAAAAATGCCTGCATTAGTTTACAACACAGCATTAAAATCCAAGCTTTTCAACCAAATGTACAAAAGCATAAAATCAGAGAGATGAATGTGGAAGAACACCATGACACTGCAAATGCTATAACTAAGCAGCACAGAGAAAACGTTGTAAAGTTTTGGTACAGATACCCAAGCAGATAGATGATCATTGAAATAGCTGGAGACATAAATGTTAGATTGTGAGTTAGATTGGCAGTTTCATCACAATTGCTCTGTATACTCTAATGACACCTAGTCTGTGTAATCCACTTAAATGATCAATTCTTTACAAAACCTTGCCTGAAAACGTCAAGTTTTTTTTGCTTTTTTTTATTGACATTTTGATTGAGAATTGATTTTAGAGCGTAAAAATCTGCTATCAAAGGTATCAATACTTTAGTATCGATCCGCTCATTACTAGGTACAGCAGATCTTCATGTTTCATGTACACTTCCATGTTTGAGGCTGACAGCCATCAGATCCTTGAGCACACACAATGTTCTATAAAGTTTAAAAAAAAACAAAAACAAAAAAAAAGGCAATGATGTAACGGAGGCCCTGATGACATCACAAAGGCTTGGGTGATGATGTCATCAACTTTCATGTTTTCTTTGTAGTTGAAAATTAGTAAGTGGTGTACTGTTTCTGAACTATTGGTTCACTTGCAGGTGAAAACATCTTCTAGGCACTCACTCTGTTATTTCAACACAAACACAGTGTCAATACCAGAGATGGAACAAGGAATGGAAAGACGTCAATTCAAATTGGCCCAAGTACAGGCCTGTCAGCCAGAAGATAGCAGGCCCACCAGGAAATGGACAGGACATGACCGTGAATGGTGGTTCGAGGGTTGGCCAAAGAGCTGGTTAGAACCTGAACAAAGTTCTAACCAGATATTTGAGGATTGTCAGCCAGAAGATAGCAGGCCCACCAGGAAATGGACAGGTCATGACCGTGAATGGTGGTTCGAGGGTTGGCCAAAGAGCTGGTTAGAACCTGAACAAAGTTCTAACCAGATATTTGAGGATTGTCAGCCAGAAGATAGCAGGCCCACAGGGAAATGGTCAGGACATGACCGTGAATGGTGGTTCGAGGGTTGGCCAAAGAGCTGGTTAGAACCTGAACAAAGTTCTAACCAGATATTTGAGGATTGTCAGCCAGAATATAGCAGGCCCATAGAGAAATGGTCAGGACATGACCGTGAATGGTGGTTCGAGGGTTGGCCAAAGAGCTGGTTAGAACCTGCACAAAGTTCTAACCAGATATTTGAGGATTGTCAGCCAGAAGATAGCAGGCCCACAGAGAAATGGTCAGGACATGACCGTGAATGGTGGTTCGAGGGTTGGCCAAAGAGCTGGTTAGAACCTGAACAAAGTTCTAACCAGCTATTTGAGGATTGTCAGCCAGAAGATAGCAGGCCCACCAGGAAATGGACAGGACATGACCGTGAATGGTGGTTCGAGGGTTGGCCAAAGAGCTGGTTAGAACCTGAACAAAGTTCTAACCAGATATTTGAGGATTGTCAGCCAGAAGATAGCAGGCCCACCAGGAAATGGACAGGTCATGACCGTGAATGGTGGTTCGAGGGTTGGCCAAAGAGCTGGTTAGAACCTGAACAAAGTTCTAACCAGATATTTGAGGATTGTCAGCCAGAAGATAGCAGGCCCACAGAGAAATGGTCAGGACATGACCGTGAATGGTGGTTCGAGGGTTGGCCAAAGAGCTGGTTAGAACCTGAACAAAGTTCTAACCAGATATTTGAGGATTGTCAGCCAGAAGATAGCAGGCCCACCAGGAAATGGACAGGACACGACCGTGAATGGTGGTTCGAGGGTTGGCCAAAGAGCTGGTTAGAACCTGAACAAAGTTCTAACCAGATATTTGAGGATTGTCAGCCAGAAGATAGCAGGCCCACCAGGAAATGGACAGGACATGACCGTGAATGGTGGTTCGAGGGTTGGCCAAAGAGCTGGTTAGAACCTGAACAGAGTTCTAACCAGATATTTGAGGATTGTCAGCCAGAAGATAGCAGGCCCACAGAGAAATGGTCAGGACATGACCGTGAATGGTGGTTCGAGGGTTGGCCAAAGAGCTGGTTAGAACCTGAACAGAGTTCTAACCAGATATTTGAGGATTGTCAGCCAGAAGATAGCAGGCCCACAGAGAAATGGTCAGGACATGACCGTGAATGGTGGTTCGAGGGTTGGCCAAAGAGCTGGTTAGAACCTGCACAAAGTTCTAACCAGATATTTGAGGATTGTCAGCCAGAAGATAGCAGGCCCACAGAAGAATGGACAGGACATGACCGTGAATGGTGGTTCGAGGGTTGGCCAAAGAGCTGGTTAGAACCTGAACAAAGTTCTAACCAGATATTTGAGGATTGTCAGCCAGAAGATAGCAGGCCCACAGAGAAATGGTCAGGACATGACCGTGAATGGTGGTTCGAGGGTTGGCCAAAGAGCTGGTTAGAACCTGAACAAAGTTCTAACCAGCTATTTGAGGATTGTCAGCCAGAAGATAGCAGGCCCACCAGGAAATGGACAGGACATGACCGTGAATGGTGGTTCGAGGGTTGGCCAAAGAGCTGGTTAGAACCTGAACAGAGTTCTAACCAGATATTTGAGGATTGTCAGCCAGAAGATAGCAGGCCCACAGAGAAATGGTCAGGACATTACCGTGAATGGTGGTTCGAGGGTTGGCCAAAGAGCTGGTTAGAACCTGAACAAAGTTCTAACCAGATATTTGAGGATTGTCAGCCAGAAGATAGCAGGCCCACAGAGAAATGGTCAGGACATGACCGTGAATGGTGGTTCGAGGGTTGGCCAAAGAGCTGGTTAGAACCTGCACAAAGTTCTAACCAGATATTTGAGGATTGTCAGCAAGAAGATAGCAGGCCCACAGAAGAATGGACAGGAAATGACCGTGAATGGTGGTTCGAGGGTTGGCCAAAGAGCTGGTTAGAACCTGAACAAAGTTCTAACCAGATATTTGAGGATTGTCAGCCAGAAGATAGCAGGCCCACCAGGAAATGGACAGGACATGACCGTGATTAATTAAACCCACATCCCCCACCCACACCCACAGACACCCACCCACACACGCCAATGCACCCGCAAATACACACACTAAGAGAATAGACATAAGGCTGAGTCGTCCCAAACAACCAGCATAGGGTGATTGCTTAAAACCAAACACCCCATCCACGCACACACACACACACACCCACATACACCCACTCACACACGCCAATGCACCCGCAAATACACACACACTAAAAGAATGGACATAAGGCTGAATCGTCCCATACAACCAGCATAGGGTGATTGCTTAAAACCAAACACCCCATCCACGCACACACACACACACACACACACACACACACACACACACACACGCACACACACACGCCAGTCTTCAGGACCATGTTTTGTTTTCCCCCCGCTAAGGAATGGCCGCAACCCAGCATAATTAGGACCCATGTCCGCCTAAGTCCCAAACAACAATGACAACGACAAAAAATTTACAATGAAATTAAAGAAATAAAAACAAATAAAATTACAAAAAATTAACGGCAATTAAAAAAAAAAAAATAAATAAATTTGGCACTGTGGCTTAGTTGGTCAAAGCGCCTGTCTAGTACACAGGAAATCCTGGGTTCGAATCCCAGCGGTGCCTTTTCAACACATGACATGTGCCATATCTTCACATTCTCCACACAGTGACATGGGGAATGTCATCCATTCATTCAGAAGGGGATTACGAATTGCAGTATAATCATTGCCTTTTCACTAATTCATTTCTTTCCTGGTTGAAAATCGTAAAATCGGGTCATTCTTTGACTTCCGATGACAAGCTTTCATGAATCAAAGGCTTTGTTCTAGGAATAAATGTATTTTAACTGTATACTTCTTAAAACATAATAACTACACCGGGAGCAATACAACCTGGACTAATAATTCCCCTTTTTTAATAACCCCCAAAAAGGCTATTTATTCACAGTATCATATCTTTTGTATTTGAGATGGAATACACATAATGTCAAAAACAAACCAACAAAAAATGCCTGCATTAGTTTACAACACAGCATTAAAATCCAAGCTTTTCAACCAAATGTACAAAAGCATAAAATCAGAGAGATGAATGTGGAAGAACACCATGACACTGCAAATGCTATAACTAAGCAGCACAGAGAAAACGTTGTAAAGTTTTGGTACAGATACCCAAGCAGATAGATGATCATTGAAATAGCTGGAGACATAAATGTTAGATTGTGAGTTAGATTGGCAGTTTCATCACAATTGCTCTGTATACTCTAATGACACCTAGTCTGTGTAATCCACTTAAATGATCAATTCTTTACAAAACCTTGCCTGAAAACGTCAAGTTTTTTTTGCTTTTTTTTATTGACATTTTGATTGAGAATTGATTTTAGAGCGTAAAAATCTGCTATCAAAGGTATCAATACTTTAGTATCGATCCGCTCATTACTAGGTACAGCAGATCTTCATGTTTCATGTACACTTCCATGTTTGAGGCTGACGGCAACCAGATCCTTGAGCACACACAATGTTCTATAAAGTTTAAAAAAAAAAAAAAAAAAAAAAAAAGGCAATGATGTAACGGAGGCCCTGATGACATCACAAAGGCTTTGGTGATGATGTCATCAACTTTCATGTTTTCTTTGTAGTTGAAAATTAGTAAGTGGTGTACTGTTTCTGAACTATTGGTTCACTTGCAGGTGAAAACAAATTCTAGGCACTCATTCTGTTATTTCAACACAAACACAGTGTCAATACCAGAGATGGAACAAGAAATGGAAAGACGTCAATTCAAATTGGCCCAAGTACAGGCCTGTCAGCCAGAAGATAGCAGGCCCACCAGGAAATGGACAGGACATGACCGTGAATGGTGGTTCGAGGGTTGGCCAAAGAGCTGGTTAGAACCTGAACAAAGTTCTAACCAGCTATTTGAGGATTGTCAGCCAGAAGATAGCAGGCCCACCAGGAAATGGACAGGACATGACCGTGAATGGTGGTTCGAGGGTTGGCCAAAGAGCTGGTTAGAACCTGAACAAAGTTCTAACCAGATATTTGAGGATTGTCAGCCAGAAGATAGCAGGCCCACCAGGAAATGGACAGGACATGACCGTGAATGGTGGTTCGAGGGTTGGCCAAAGAGCTGGTTAGAACCTGAACAAAGTTCTAACCAGCTATTTGAGGATTGTCAGCCAGAAGATAGCAGGCCCACAGAGAAATGGTCAGGACATGACCGTGAATGGTGGTTCGAGGGTTGGCCAAAGAGCTGGTTAGAACCTGAACAGAGTTCTAACCAGATATTTGAGGATTGTCAGCCAGAAGATAGCAGGCCCACAGAGAAATGGTCAGGACATGACCGTGAATGGTGGTTCGAGGGTTGGCCAAAGAGCTGGTTAGAACCTGAACAGAGTTCTAACCAGATATTTGAGGATTGTCAGCCAGAAGATAGCAGGCCCACAGAGAAATGGACAGGACATGACCGTGAATGGTGGTTCGAGGGTTGGCCAAAGAGCTGGTTAGAACCTGAACAAAGTTCTAACCAGATATTTGAGGATTGTCAGCGAGAAGATAGCAGACCCACAGAAGAATGGACAGGACACGACCGTGAATGGTGGTTCGAGGGTTGGCCAAAGAGCTGGTTAGAACCTGAACAAAGTTCTAACCAGATATTTGAGGATTGTAAGCCAGAAGATAGCAGGCCCACCAGGAAATGGACAGGACATGACCGTGAATGGTGGTTCGAGGGTTGGCCAAAGAGCTGGTTAGAATCTGAACAAAGTTCTAACCAGATATTTGAGGATTGTCAGCCAGAAGATAGCAGGCCCACAGAGAAATGGTCAGGACATGACCGTGAATGGTGGTTCGAGGGTTGGCCAAAGAGCTGGTTAGAACCTGAACAAAGTTCTAACCAGATATTTGAGGATTGTCAGCCAGAAGATAGCAGGCCCACAGAGAAATGGTCAGGACATGACCGTGAATGGTGGTTCGAGGGTTGGCCAAAGAGCTGGTTAGAACCTGCACAAAGTTCTAACCAGATATTTGAGGATTGTCAGCAAGAAGATAGCAGGCTCACAGAAGAATGGACAGGACATGACCGTGAATGGTGGTTCGAGGGTTGGCCAAAGAGCTGGTTAGAACCTGAACAAAGTTCTAACCAGATATTTGAGGATTGTCAGCCAGAAGATAGCAGGCCCACCAGGAAATGGACAGGACATGACCGTGAATGGTGGTTCGAGGGTTGGCCAAAGAGCTGGTTAGAACCTGAACAAAGTTCTAACCAGCTATTTGAGGATTGTCAGCCAGAAGATAGCAGGCCCACCAGGAAATGGACAGGACATGACCGTGAATGGTGGTTCGAGGGTTGGCCAAAGAGCTGGTTAGAACCTGCACAAAGTTCTAACCAGATATTTGAGGATTGTCAGCCAGAAGATAGCAGGCCCACAGAGAAATGGTCAGGACATGACCGTGAATGGTGGTTCGAGGGTTGGCCAAAGAGCTGGTTAGAACCTGCACAAAGTTCTAACCAGATATTTGAGGATTGTCAGCAAGAAGATAGCAGGCCCACAGAAGAATGGACAGGAAATGACCGTGAATGGTGGTTCGAGGGTTGGCCAAAAAGCTGGTTAGAACCTGAACAAAGTTCTAACCAGATATTTGAGGATTGTCAGCCAGAAGATAGCAGGCCCACCAGGAAATGGACAGGACATGACCGTGATTAATTAAACCCACATCCCCCACCCACACCCACAGACACCCACCCACACACGCCAATGCACCCGCAAATACACACACTAAGAGAATAGACATAAGGCTGAGTCGTCCCAAACAACCAGCATAGGGTGATTGCTTAAAACCAAACACCCCACCCACGCACACACACACACACACCCACATACACCCACTCACACACGCCAATGCACCCGCAAATACACACACACTAAAAGAATGGACATAAGGCTGAATCGTCCCATACAACCAGCATAGGGTGATTGCTTAAAACCAAACACCCCATCCACGCACACACACACACACACACACACACACACACACACGCACACACACACGCCAGTCTTCAGGACCATGTTTTGTTTTCCCCCCGCTAAGGAATGGCCGCAACCCAGCATAATTAGGACCCATGTCCGCCTAAGTCCCAAACAACAATGACAACGACAAAAAATTTACAATGAAATTAAAGAAATAAAAACAAATAAAATTACAAAAAATTAACGGCAATTAAAAAAAAATAAATAAATAAATTTGGCACTGTGGCTTAGTTGGTCAAAGCGCCTGTCTAGTACACAGGAAATCCTGGGTTCGAATCCCAGCGGTGCCTTTTCAACACATGACATGTGCCATATCTTCACATTCTCCACACAGTGACATGGGGAATGTCATCCATTCATTCAGAAGGGGATTACGAATTGCAGTATAATCATTGCCTTTTCACTAATTCATTTCTTTCCTGGTTGAAAATCGTAAAATCGGGTCATTCTTTGACTTCCGATGACAAGCTTTCATGAATCAAAGGCTTTGTTCTAGGAATAAATGTATTTTAACTGTATACTTCTTAAAACATAATAACTACACCGGGAGCAATACAACCTGGACTAATAATTCCCCTTTTTTAATAACCCCCAAAAAGGCTATTTATTCACAGTATCATATCTTTTGTATTTGAGATGGAATACACATAATGTCAAAAACAAACCAACAAAAAATGCCTGCATTAGTTTACAACACAGCATTAAAATCCAAGCTTTTCAACCAAATGTACAAAAGCATAAAATCAGAGAGATGAATGTGGAAGAACACCATGACACTGCAAATGCTATAACTAAGCAGCACAGAGAAAACGTTGTAAAGTTTTGGTACAGATACCCAAGCAGATAGATGATCATTGAAATAGCTGGAGACATAAATGTTAGATTGTGAGTTAGATTGGCAGTTTCATCACAATTGCTCTGTATACTCTAATGACACCTAGTCTGTGTAATCCACTTAAATGATCAATTCTTTACAAAACCTTGCCTGAAAACGTCGAGTTTTTTTTGCTTTTTTTTATTGACATTTTGATTGAGAATTGATTTTAGAGCGTAAAAATCTGCTATCAAAGGTATCAATACTTTAGTATCGATCCGCTCATTACTAGGTACAGCAGATCTTCATGTTTCATGTACACTTCCATGTTTGAGGCTGACGGCAACCAGATCCTTGAGCACACACAATGTTCTATAAAGTTTAAAAAAAAAAAAAAAAAAAAAAAAGGCAATGATGTAACGGAGGCCCTGATGACATCACAAAGGCTTTGGTGATGATGTCATCAACTTTCATGTTTTCTTTGTAGTTGAAAATTAGTAAGTGGTGTACTGTTTCTGAACTATTGGTTCACTTGCAGGTGAAAACAAATTCTAGGCACTCATTCTGTTATTTCAACACAAACACAGTGTCAATACCAGAGATGGAACAAGAAATGGAAAGACGTCAATTCAAATTGGCCCAAGTACAGGCCTGTCAGCCAGAAGATAGCAGGCCCACCAGGAAATGGACAGGACATGACCGTGAATGGTGGTTCGAGGGTTGGCCAAAGAGCTGGTTAGAACCTGAACAAAGTTCTAACCAGCTATTTGAGGATTGTCAGCCAGAAGATAGCAGGCCCACCAGGAAATGGACAGGACATGACCGTGAATGGTGGTTCGAGGGTTGGCCAAAGAGCTGGTTAGAACCTGAACAAAGTTCTAACCAGATATTTGAGGATTGTCAGCCAGAAGATAGCAGGCCCACCAGGAAATGGACAGGTCATGACCGTGAATGGTGGTTCGAGGGTTGGCCAAAGAGCTGGTTAGAACCTGCACAAAGTTCTAACCAGATATTTGAGGATTGTCAGCCAGAAGATAGCAGGCCCACAGAGAAATGGTCAGGACACGACCGTGAATGGTGGTTCGAGGGTTGGCCAAAGAGCTGGTTAGAACCTGAACAAAGTTCTAACCAGATATTTGAGGATTGTCAGCCAGAAGATAGCAGGCCCACCAGGAAATGGACAGGACATGACCGTGAATGGTGGTTCGAGGGTTGGCCAAAGAGCTGGTTAGAACCTGAACAAAGTTCTAACCAGATATTTGAGGATTGTCAGCCAGAAGATAGCAGGCCCACCAGGAAATGGACAGGACATGACCGTGAATGGTGGTTCGAGGGTTGGCCAAAGAGCTGGTTAGAACCTGAACAGAGTTCTAACCAGATATTTGAGGATTGTCAGCCAGAAGATAGCAGGCCCACAGAGAAATGGTCAGGACATGACCGTGAATGGTGGTTCGAGGGTTGGCCAAAGAGCTGGTTAGAACCTGAACAGAGTTCTAACCAGATATTTGAGGATTGTCAGCCAGAAGATAGCAGGCCCACAGAGAAATGGTCGGGACATGACCGTGAATGGTGGTTCGAGGGTTGGCCAAAGAGCTGGTTAGAACCTGCACAAAGTTCTAACCAGATATTTGAGGATTGTCAGCGAGAAGATAGCAGGCCCACAGAAGAATGGACAGGACATGACTGTGAATGGTGGTTCGAGGGTTGGCCAAAGAGCTGGTTAGAACCTGAACAAAGTTCTAACCAGATATTTGAGGATTGTAAGCCAGAAGATAGCAGGCCCACCAGGAAATGGACAGGACATGACCGTGAATGGTGGTTCGAGGGTTGGCCAAAGAGCTGGTTAGAACCTGAACAAAGTTCTAACCAGATATTTGAGGATTGTCAGCCAGAAGATAGCAGGCCCACAGAGAAATGGTCAGGACATGACCGTGAATGGTGGTTCGAGGGTTGGCCAAAGAGCTGGTTAGAACCTGAACAAAGTTCTAACCAGATATTTGAGGATTGTCAGCCAGAAGATAGCAGGCCCACAGAGAAATGGTCAGGACATGACCGTGAATGGTGGTTCGAGGGTTGGCCAAAGAGCTGGTTAGAACCTGCACAAAGTTCTAACCAGATATTTGAGGATTGTCAGCAAGAAGATAGCAGGCCCACAGAAGAATGGACAGGACATGACCGTGAATGGTGGTTCGAGGGTTGGCCAAAGAGCTGGTTAGAACCTGAACAAAGTTCTAACCAGATATTTGAGGATTGTCAGCCAGAAGATAGCAGGCCCACCAGGAAATGGACAGGACATGACCGTGAATGGTGGTTCGAGGGTTGGCCAAAGAGCTGGTTAGAACCTGAACAAAGTTCTAACCAGCTATTTGAGGATTGTCAGCCAGAAGATAGCAGGCCCACCAGGAAATGGACAGGACATGACCGTGAATGGTGGTTCGAGGGTTGGCCAAAGAGCTGGTTAGAACCTGCACAAAGTTCTAACCAGATATTTGAGGATTGTCAGCCAGAAGATAGCAGGCCCACAGAGAAATGGTCAGGACATGACCGTGAATGGTGGTTCGAGGGTTGGCCAAAGAGCTGGTTAGAACCTGCACAAAGTTCTAACCAGATATTTGAGGATTGTCAGCAAGAAGATAGCAGGCCCACAGAAGAATGGACAGGAAATGACCGTGAATGGTGGTTCGAGGGTTGGCCAAAGAGCTGGTTAGAACCTGAACAAAGTTCTAACCAGATATTTGAGGATTGTCAGCCAGAAGATAGCAGGCCCACCAGGAAATGGACAGGACATGACCGTGAATGGTGGTCCGAGGGTTGGCCAAAGAGCTGGTTAGAACCTGAACAAAGTTCTAACCAGATATTTGAGGATTGTCAGCCAGAAGATAGCAGGCCCACCAGGAAATGGACAGGACATGACCGTGAATAGTGGTTCGAGGGTTGGCCAAAGAGCTGGTTAGAACCTGAACAGAGTTCTAACCAGATATTTGAGGATTGTCAGCCAGAAGATAGCAGGCCCACAGAGAAATGGTCAGGACATGACCGTGAATGGTGGTTCGAGGGTTGGCCAAAGAGCTGGTTAGAACCTGAACAGAGTTCTAACCAGATATTTGAGGATTGTCAGCCAGAAGATAGCAGGCCCACAGAGAAATGGTCAGGACATGACCGTGAATGGTGGTTCGAGGGTTGGCCAAAGAGCTGGTTAGAACCTGCACAAAGTTCTAACCAGATATTTGAGGATTGTCAGCGAGAAGATAGCAGGCCCACAGAAGAATGGACAGGACATGACTGTGAATGGTGGTTCGAGGGTTGGCCAAAGAGCTGGTTAGAACCTGAACAAAGTTCTAACCAGATATTTGAGGATTGTAAGCCAGAAGATAGCAGGCCCACCAGGAAATGGACAGGACATGACCGTGAATGGTGGTCCGAGGGTTGGCCAAAGAGCTGGTTAGAACCTGAACAAAGTTCTAACCAGCTATTTGAGGATTGTCAGCCAGAAGATAGCAGGCCCACCAGGAAATGGACAGGACATGACCGTGAATGGTGGTTCGAGGGTTGGCCAAAGAGCTGGTTAGAACCTGAACAAAGTTCTAACCAGATATTTGAGGATTGTCAGCCAGAAGATAGCAGGCCCACCAGGAAATGGACAGGTCATGACCGTGAATGGTGGTTCGAGGGTTGGCCAAAGAGCTGGTTAGAACCTGCACAAAGTTCTAACCAGATATTTGAGGATTGTCAGCCAGAAGATAGCAGGCCCACAGAGAAATGGTCAGGACACGACCGTGAATGGTGGTTCGAGGGTTGGCCAAAGAGCTGGTTAGAACCTGAACAAAGTTCTAACCAGATATTTGAGGATTGTCAGCCAGAAGATAGCAGGCCCACCAGGAAATGGACAGGACATGACCGTGAATGGTGGTCCGAGGGTTGGCCAAAGAGCTGGTTAGAACCTGAACAAAGTTCTAACCAGATATTTGAGGATTGTCAGCCAGAAGATAGCAGGCCCACCAGGAAATGGACAGGACATGACCGTGAATGGTGGTTCGAGGGTTGGCCAAAGAGCTGGTTAGAACCTGAACAGAGTTCTAACCAGATATTTGAGGATTGTCAGCCAGAAGATAGCAGGCCCACAGAGAAATGGTCAGGACATGACCGTGAATGGTGGTTCGAGGGTTGGCCAAAGAGCTGGTTAGAACCTGAACAGAGTTCTAACCAGATATTTGAGGATTGTCAGCCAGAAGATAGCAGGCCCACAGAGAAATGGTCAGGACATGACCGTGAATGGTGGTTCGAGGGTTGGCCAAAGAGCTGGTTAGAACCTGCACAAAGTTCTAACCAGATATTTGAGGATTGTCAGCGAGAAGATAGCAGGCCCACAGAAGAATGGACAGGACATGACTGTGAATGGTGGTTCGAGGGTTGGCCAAAGAGCTGGTTAGAACCTGAACAAAGTTCTAACCAGATATTTAAGGATTGTAAGCCAGAAGATAGCAGGCCCACCAGGAAATGGACAGGACATGACCGTGAATGGTGGTTCGAGGGTTGGCCAAAGAGCTGGTTAGAACCTGAACAAAGTTCTAACCAGATATTTGAGGATTGTCAGCCAGAAGATAGCAGGCCCACCAGGAAATGGACAGGACATGACCGTGAATGGTGGTTCGAGGGTTGGCCAAAGAGCTGGTTAGAACCTGAACAGAGTTCTAACCAGATATTTGAGGATTGTCAGCCAGAAGATAGCAGGCCCACAGAGAAATGGTCAGGACATGACCGTGAATGGTGGTTCGAGGGTTGGCCAAAGAGCTGGTTAGAACCTGCACAAAGTTCTAACCAGATATTTGAGGATTGTCAGCAAGAAGATAGCAGGCCCACAGAAGAATGGACAGGACATGACCGTGAATGGTGGTTCGAGGGTTGGCCAAAGAGCTGGTTAGAACCTGAACAAAGTTCTAACCAGATATTTGAGGATTGTCAGCCAGAAGATAGCAGGCCCACCAGGAAATGGACAGGACATGACCGTGAATGGTGGTTCGAGGGTTGGCCAAAGAGCTGGTTAGAACCTGAACAAAGTTCTAACCAGCTATTTGAGGATTGTCAGCCAGAAGATAGCAGGCCCACCAGGAAATGGACAGGACATGACCGTAAATGGTGGTTCGAGGGTTGGCCAAAGAGCTGGTTAGAACCTGAACAAAGTTCGAACCAGCTATTTGAGGATTAGCCAAAGAGCTGGTTAGAATCTGAATAAAGTTCTAACCAGCTCGAGGGAAGGGAAGAAATGGAGATGGCCAGATGGAGGTGATTGAATCAGACCCTGAGCCTCTGGTAAAAAAGGTGGTGGTTCATCGAGCTACCCAGACCTTAGTAATGGAGGATAAGGTGATTAATTAAACCCACATCCCCCACCCACACCCACAGACACCCACCCACACACGCCAATGCACCCGCAAATACACACACTAAGAGAATAGACATAAGGCTGAGTCGTCCCAAACAACCAGCATAGGGTGATTGCTTAAACCCAAACACCCCACCCACTCACACACACACACACACCCACATACACCCACTCACACACGCCAATGCACCCGCAAATACACACACACTAAGAGAATGGACATAAGGCTGAATCGTCCCAAACAACCAGCATAGGGTGATTGCTTAAAACCAAACACCCCATCCACGCACACACACACACACACACACACACACACACACACACACACACACACACACACACGCACACACACACGCCAGTCTTCAGGACCATGTTTTGTTTTCCCCCCGCTAAGGAATGGCCGCAACCCAGCATAATTACGACCCATGTCCGCCTAAGTCCCAAACAACAATGACAACGACAAAAAATTTACAATGAAATTAAAGAAATAAAAACAAATAAAATTACAAAAAATTAACGGCAATTTAAAAAAAAAAAAAAAAAAAATCTTTGGCACTGTGGCTTAGTTGGTCAAAGCGCCTGTCTAGTACACAGGAAATCCTGGGTTCGAATCCCAGCGGTGCCTTTTCAACACATGGCGTGTGCCATATCTTCACATTCTCCACACAGTGACATGGGGAATGTCATCCATTCATTCAGAAGGGGATTACGAATTGCAGTATAATCATTGCCTTTTCACTAATTCATTTCTGTCCTGGTTGAAAATCGTAAAATCGGGTCATTCTTTGACTTCCGATGACAAGCTTTCATGAATCAAAGGCTTTGTTCTAGGAATAAATGTATTTTAACTGTATACTTCTTAAAACATAATAACTACACCAGGAGCAATACAACCTGGACTAATAATTCCCCTTTTTTAATAACCCCCAAAAAGGCTATTTATTCACAGTATCATATCTTTTGTATTTGAGATGGAATACACATAATGTCAAAAACAAACCAACAAAAAATGCCTGCATTAGTTTACAACACAGCATTAAAATCCAAGCTTTTCAACCAAATGTACAAAAGCATAAAATCAGAGAGATGAATGTGGAAGAACACCATGACACTGCAAATGCTATAACTAAGCAGCACAGAGAAAACGTTGTAAAGTTTTGGTACAGATACCCAAGCAGATAGATGATCATTGAAATAGCTGGAGACATAAATGTTAGATTGTGAGTTAGATTGGCAGTTTCATCACAATTGCTCTGTATACTCTAATGACACCTAGTCTGTGTAATCCACTTAAATGATCAATTCTTTACAAAACCTTGCCTGAAAACGTCAAGTTTTTTTTGCTTTTTTTTATTGACATTTTGATTGAGAATTGATTTTAGAGCGTAAAAATCTGCTATCAAAGGTATCAATACTTTAGTATCGATCCGCTCATTACTAGGTACAGCAGATCTTCATGTTTCATGTACACTTCCATGTTTGAGGCTGACAGCAACCAGATCCTTGAGCACACACAATGTTCTATAAAGTTTAAAAAAAAAAAAAAACAAAAAAAAAGGCAATGATGTAACGGAGGCCCTGATGACATCACAAAGGCTTGGGTGATGATGTCATCAACTTTCATGTTTTCTTTGTAGTTGAAAATTAGTAAGTGGTGTACTGTTTCTGAACTATTGGTTCACTTGCAGGTGAAAACAACTTCTAGGCACTCACTCTGTTATTTCAACACAAACACAGTGTCAATACCAGAGATGGAACAAGGAATGGAAAGACGTCAATTCAAATTGGCCCAAGTACAGGCCTGTCAGCCAGAAGATAGCAGGCCCACCAGGAAATGGACAGGACATGACCGTGAATGGTGGTTCGAGGGTTGGCCAAAGAGCTGGCTAGAGCCTGAACAAAGTTCTAACCAGATATTTGAGGATTGTCAGCCAGAAGACAGCAGGCCCACCAGGAAATGGACAGGTCATGACCGTGAATGGTGGTTCGAGGGTTGGCCAAAGAGCTGGTTAGAACCTGAACAAAGTTCTAACCAGCTATTTGAGGATTGTCAGCCAGAAGATAGCAGGCCCACAGGGAAATGGTCAGGACATGACCGTGAATGGTGGTTCGAGGGTTGGCCAAAGAGCTGGTTAGAACCTGAACAAAGTTCTAACCAGCTATTTGAGGATTGTCAGCCAGAAGATAGCAGGCCCACAGAGAAATGGTCAGGACATGACCGTGAATGGTGGTTCGAGGGTTGGCCAAAGAGCTGGTTAGAACCTGCACAAAGTTCTAACCAGATATTTGAGGATTGTCAGCCAGAAGATAGCAGGCCCACAGAGAAATGGTCAGGACACGACCGTGAATGGTGGTTCGAGGGTTGGCCAAAGAGCTGGTTAGAACCTGAACAAAGTTCTAACCAGCTTTTTGAGGATTGTCAGCCAGAAGATAGCAGGCCCACCAGGAAATGGACAGGACATGACCGTGAATGGTGGTTCGATGGTTGGCCAAAGAGCTGGTTAGAACCTGAACAAAGTTCTAACCAGATATTTGAGGATTGTCAGCAAGAAGATAGCAGGCCCACCAGGAAATGGACAGGACATGACCGTGAATGGTGGTTCGAGGGTTGGCCAAAGAGCTGGTTAGAACCTGAACAGAGTTCTAACCAGATATTTGAGGATTGTCAGCCAGAAGATAGCAGGCCCACAGAGAAATGGTCAGGACATGACCGTGAATGGTGGTTCGAGGGTTGGCCAAAGAGCTGGTTAGAACCTGAACAAAGTTCTAACCAGCTATTTGAGGATTGTCAGCCAGAAGATAGCAGGCCCACCAGGAAATGGACAGGACATGACCGTGAATGGTGGTTCGAGGGTTGGCCAAAGAGCTGGTTAGAACCTGAACAAAGTTCTAACCAGATATTTGAGGATTGTCAGCCAGAAGATAGCAGGCCCACCAGGAAATGGACAGGTCATGACCGTGAATGGTGGTTCGAGGGTTGGCCAAAGAGCTGGTTAGAACCTGAACAAAGTTCTAACCAGATATTTGAGGATTGTCAGCCAGAAGATAGCAGGCCCACAGAGAAATGGTCAGGACATGACCGTGAATGGTGGTTCGAGGGTTGGCCAAAGAGCTGGTTAGAACCTGAACAAAGTTCTAACCAGATATTTGAGGATTGTCAGCCAGAAGATAGCAGGCCCACCAGGAAATGGACAGGACACGACCGTGAATGGTGGTTCGCGGGTTGGCCAAAGAGCTGGTTAGAACCTGAACAAAGTTCTAACCAGATATTTGAGGATTGTCAGCCAGAAGATAGCAGGCCCACCAGGAAATGGACAGGACATGACCGTGAATGGTGGTTCGAGGGTTGGCCAAAGAGCTGGTTAGAACCTGAACAGAGTTCTAACCAGATATTTGAGGATTGTCAGCCAGAAGATAGCAGGCCCACAGAGAAATGGTCAGGACATGACCGTGAATGGTGGTTCGAGGGTTGGCCAAAGAGCTGGTTAGAACCTGAACAGAGTTCTAACCAGATATTTGAGGATTGTCAGCCAGAAGATAGCAGGCCCACAGAGAAATGGTCAGGACATGACCGTGAATGGTGGTTCGAGGGTTGGCCAAAGAGCTGGTTAGAACCTGCACAAAGTTCTAACCAGATATTTGAGGATTGTCAGCCAGAAGATAGCAGGCCCACAGAAGAATGGACAGGACATGACCGTGAATGGTGGTTCGAGGGTTGGCCAAAGAGCTGGTTAGAACCTGAACAAAGTTCTAACCAGATATTTGAGGATTGTAAGCCAGAAGATAGCAGGCCCACAGAGAAATGGTCAGGACATGACCGTGAATGGTGGTTCGAGGGTTGGCCAAAGAGCTGGTTAGAACCTGAACAAAGTTCTAACCAGCTATTTGAGGATTGTCAGCCAGAAGATAGCAGGCCCACCAGGAAATGGACAGGACATGACCGTGAATGGTGGTTCGAGGGTTGGCCAAAGAGCTGGTTAGAACCTGAACAGAGTTCTAACCAGATATTTGAGGATTGTCAGCCAGAAGATAGCAGGCCCACAGAGAAATGGTCAGGACATTACCGTGAATGGTGGTTCGAGGGTTGGCCAAAGAGCTGGTTAGAACCTGAACAAAGTTCTAACCAGATATTTGAGGATTGTCAGCCAGAAGATAGCAGGCCCACCAGGAAATGGACAGGACATGACCGTGATTAATTAAACCCACATCCCCCACCCACACCCACAGACACCCACCCACACACGCCAATGCACCCGCAAATACACACACTAAGAGAATAGACATAAGGCTGAGTCGTCCCAAACAACCAGCATAGGGTGATTGCTTAAAACCAAACACCCCACCCACGCACACACACACACACACCCACATACACCCACTCACACACGCCAATGCACCCGCAAATACACACACACTAAAAGAATGGACATAAGGCTGAATCGTCCCATACAACCAGCATAGGGTGATTGCTTAAAACCAAACACCCCATCCACGCACACACACACACACATACACACACACACACACACACACACACACACGCACACACACACGCCAGTCTTCAGGACCATGTTTTGTTTTCCCCCCGCTAAGGAATGGCCGCAACCCAGCATAATTAGGACCCATGTCCGCCTAAGTCCCAAACAACAATGACAACGACAAAAAATTTACAATGAAATTAAAGAAATAAAAACAAATAAAATTACAAAAAATTAACGGCAATTAAAAAAAAATAAATAAATAAATTTGGCACTGTGGCTTAGTTGGTCAAAGCGCCTGTCTAGTACACAGGAAATCCTGGGTTCGAATCCCAGCGGTGCCTT